AGTGCTCGCCAAATAAAATGTTGTTTTCAAATTGAGTTTCTAATTTTATTTATATGGTTAGATTTAGTTTATATATATTTTTTTATTTTATTATATGAAGTAGAACACTGAACATTTTCCCAGACATTATTCCGATGCAAAACAAATTTTTCGGAATGGATGTACTTGTATTACATGGGGGCAAAATATACTATGACATTTGGGAAAAATAACTGATTACAGTTTTAATAGTATGGAAGTACTATTGTATTTGGCAAAGATAATTGATTTCCATTGTCGAGCTATTTTTGTAATTGAAGTCGGAAATAAAAATGTATTCGGCAAAGTTTTTTTTACACCGAAGGTGTTTTTTGAAGAGATACAAAACTAACGATAACTAACTGTACAAATTTACAAACGATTAAAATCCGCGAACCATCGTGTGACAGGGGTGAGGTAGGGCGTGAGGCCCTACAAAACCAAAAACCTACTCAAAATCTACTAAAATTGTACTGTACGCTCAAACCTCGGGCTCGGCGAGTGCGACGGTGCTCCCTCAACGGAAATACACCATAGGCAGCAACCTCCCCCAGATCTTTCTGTAGTGGAGGCAGCGATGGCAGGACGAAGGCAGTGGATAATGCGGCGACGTCTTCACGGCTGGACGCTCACGGACCAAGAAGACCGTGTCCTCGCCGCAGTCCTCCGGGCAGGTTCGACGCTCACGGACCAAGAAGACCGGGTCCTCGCCGCAGTCCTCCGGGTAGGCTCGACGCTCACGGACCAAGAAGACCGGATCCTCGCCGCAGTCCTCCGGGCAGGCTCGGCGGCTCCTTGACGGCGGCTCGAAGTTCTCGTTGATTGGTCGCCGACAGCTGCCAAGTTGCGTCAGCCAATTGATAGCGGTCACGTTCGGAATTTCGAGGATTTCGTATGATGACAGCCGCGGCGTAGGTTCGCGCGCCGGATTTGAAGCGGCTCCCGCGGCCCAATCGAGGCGCGCGGCTGGCGCGTGACATCATCCGCAGGTCCAGGGACGCAGCTCCTCGAGGACTCGGTGGTGCCGATCCTGGGCTCCCTTGAGCCAAAATTCCTAGCGATGTAGCCCGGGGGTGCCGACATTCCTTGATGCAACGGCTCCCGGGTGAGTGGACCAGTGGGCCCTTCCGCCCTGGGGTCACCGCGGCCTGGCCTCGGCGTAGGAAGGCGACGCAATTAGGACCCCCCCTCGCCGCCCTTGTAGGGACTCCATTGAGTCAAAGGACACGGAGGAGGGGGGGTTCGCGGCCACCGGCATTGCGCCCTCCTCCAGCCATTAGTGAGGGGCCAAAAATCCGGGTACGAACGCGGTGACCCAGCGACGCCGCCATGGTTCGGCCCTTGCCGTCAAGCGCGGGGTCGCGGGTGGCTCGGTTCGGCTCTACTCCGCGCGGCCCCGGCACCCATGAGCGGCGGCGGGGCATGGCTCCTCTGCCACCGTTGTCGTCCTTTTCTGATGTCCCTCGAGGGCGCCCTTGTCCCGCGATGGATGTTGTCTTCTTGTCCGCAGTCGCCTCATCGCGAGGGCGTCCTAACGTCTAAACTATACACAACTTATGGTACCAAAAGAATGAAAGGTAACGCAACGGATATTCGTACTCCTCTCCTCCTCGGTCTTGAGCGCCGAACGTGCTGAAATAAGACGTGGATGAAATGATACAATTAAAATATAATACCACTGCCTTCGGAAAGGATTTTAATGGTTTTCAGGATTAAGGTTTAACATTTGGGGCCCTGGGGCGATGCTCCACCGGGTGCATCGTCACAACACATGTCGCTAGTGTATTCTCCAGTTACCCCAACAGTCAGAAATGCGTTGCCGCATGTTACTTTCTACATGTATCAACAGTAGAGGGTACACTAGGGAACATTATCATATACACATGTTGTGTGGTAACTATTGCTTCAGTTGACGAGTTTATGCTGTCACGATTATAAATATAACTGTCGTATTGTTGTAACTGTAGTTAGTCTTTGTAATAATGTGTACTACAATGAAGTTGTACATTTGACATTTTTAGCAGAGTAATCATTTCTTTGTAGAACTGCTGTCCTTATATTTACCAGCGGTTGCTGTTATATCTATCTCAATTGTAGTAATTATAACAACTTTTTTCTCTCCGTGTACTAAGGCAATTAAATTAATTTAGACAAAGATTTTTAATGACATAGTATTTAAGTGACGTTTTAACACGCAACAGAATTTTCCCTCGAGTCAATCACGAAATAGCTTTCCGTAAAGTGCGTAAAATAAATAATCCACGGGTAATTATAATCGACCCATTGAGAAAACTACCCCTTCACGGAAAACACTGATCAATAGGGCAAACAGATAGTTTCAACAGGGAAATTACTATTGACTCATTCACCGGCGTGAAAATCCAAATGTATCAAAAATTGAAAAAACGTGTTCTTATCAAACAAATCATGAGTTACCGGTTACAGAATATGTACAATTTAATACCATGTAGTTATGCGAAACAACTATATGTGTGTAACTACGATAATCGGGTACCATGAGAAAAATCGAAGGAAATTTCCCACGGGTTGAGTTTCATAATACGAAATTGTGCTTTCCCCGGCACCGTTCGCCGTCACGTTACAGATAGTATGGTTAATGATACAGTTTAGTATAGTAACGTAAACTGTAAACTTTAGTATAGTAAAGTAAACTGACATATTGGTCACGTAAAAAAGGGAATGCTAGAAGGCATCAAGAGACACTATTATTACCTGAGTTAGTGGTGGTTCTTCAAACGGAGACCGCGACACGCTATTCGCTATGTCAATTTGCCATCTATTTTTATGCTGAAATTTATTGCCCTGGAATTCCATAAAATCGTCAAAACACAGATAAGCCGTGTTAAATGACAAACTAAGTCCTTTTAATTTAATGTAATGTTAATATATCTCGAGAAATAAAATTTTGGCTGTAAATACGTGCCATTTTCCTTTCAGTATAGTTTCAGAATTTTTGCGGTTTTCTGCAAGTTATTTGTACCCGATTTCCGCATTTTCTAGCTTGAAACGCATTAATCTGTAATGCGAAGCCCTAAGTTGTTTTCTGCGTCACCGTGACGTTATGCTTACCGCCGTAAAGGCGGTGCCCCAAGTAAGGCGATACTCTCACCTGGAAAAATGATTCTCGTTTTTCTCTCCCGTTACTTGCTCTAATCTTTCGGTTGTCCAATTTCCACGAAGTTCACCGTGGCAGCAAGAAATATCGCGTCCTTGCACCCATGATTGTGGAATAATTCGAATTACCCTGATGTACCAAACCAAAGTTTGCTTGAGTATGTAAAGCAACGTCGCCATTGTTGCTGAACAACTGTATGTACTTTCCCAATGGGACTAAAGCAGGATTTCGTGAAACTACATACGCCTTGGTCTTTTTTCGGAAAAAAATGTTACTTTAAAAAACTCGATCGTAGAAAATCGAAAGAAAAAGCTCCGACGGATCGATAAATGATTCCATATGTACGATCATTTTGAAACTCCTTTTCCCGTTTTTTTTTAATTTCAGCTTTAAAATTTCTACTGTAGGTACATTAATTTAAATGCGTATTATACTTATGCGTATTATACGTATTCATAGACTACATTTTAAGCAAATCTAATCCCGCGAAAATCAACATGTGTAAAAATTATTGAAATCATTCTTCGACTTAGATTTTCTTAATTTCATAACAGTGAAAGAGATTTATCGTGTAGTCGGTGTTACAATGCAAAAGACGAAATACATAATTAAGGAGTTAATCGATTTTTTACTATAGTTTTTCAATCTCCCCCACGTGTGTTCCAATAATATGGCTACATATTGTATAGCACTCTATTATCACGAGTGGTCGCTTTTACGCGATTTATTATTGTGCGGCACGCTATATCAAGCTAAATTTAAGAACAAATATAGCTGACCAGGAACCCACCCATTTAATCAGATTATGTATTTCCCTTTTACGTGGATAATTTGGGGGAAAATCAGGACCCTAACAATTAACGATCGGTAGACATAAGGAGGTGAACTTACACGACACTAAAATACAAAAAATATTCATAATTATGCCACGTTCAGTATGGGATAAATGTCTATGAAATGAAGATTTATCTTCCCTACTTGCAAAGAAAAAAATATCGTAATCATTAAGTATAAAACTATTAAAATAATGTAACGAGCCCGTCAATTTTCTTTTGACGGATACACATCAACGTGTAGGTACGTCATTATTTTCACATTAAGGAGAAATTCATGTACAAGGTGTTTGACTTAAATGCATGCATGAGACGTGATCGACTTTCGTTCTAAAAAGACAACATTAAGACAATTATTGCATGGTTCCCTTTTTACATATACGTCATACAGAAGTGAAGAGCTGTAAAAAATTATAGAATTACTTATGAAATGAGCGAAGGTTAAGGTATTTAGGATAAGTGATCTTTATAAAGTGTTCATAAACAATGAAGAAAGAAGACCGAACAATATTTGATTGCAACGAACTGTGCTTGAGTCCAAAGAATAAATGTTGACAAAGCGGAGAAATTGCAATTACTTAAATGTAGTCTCCAGTTTAAAGGAGCTCCTCAATAATACGTCGGGAAAATTAATCAATTTCTGATTTTTCTTCGAAGTTACTCTTCCATTCGAGGAAAACTTAGAAAACCAGCTAAGACTCGATACGCATTGACCGGGAAAGCAGCGATAAGAACCGGCGAGGTTCGATCGCAAGGGAAAAGCTCGAAGGCAATAAAGGATGAGGCTCACGTGACGTCACTTTGAAGATAATATTTCTAAACCATGGATACATTTTATAAAATCAGAATCTTTGAAACGTGGTACGTCAGTACCCGAAGGTTACCAAAATTCGGTTCGAGAGCTTTCATAAGGTGATGTGAAAGTGACATGTGAGAGGTCAATCGTTCGTGAAACTTTTCTCCGAACTGGGTGTACCGAATCGTTTAAAGCTTTATAAAGTGAATATGGAAGCTATAAAGGAAGGTCTTGTCCCTCACGAAATTTCACTTTCTATAACAAATTTTGAAAATGTCTATAAACAAATTTGGAAAAAACTGAAATTTCATAGGACCTTCTTTATGGACTCTATATTTGCGTCCTAAAATTATAAACAATTCGTTACACCCAGTTCGGAGAAAAGTTTCACGAACGATACCTCTTTGACGTTACTTTCACATCACCTTAAAATTCGGTAAAGAGATGGAAAACCTGAAAAGTCGATGGTCAGGAAGGGGAATGGGAAAACGAGGGAGGGAATCAAACCCTGATGCAGGACAAGGGCTGAAGGATGAGCTTCCGTGACGTCACCTGAAAGATAATGTTCCTAAACCATGAATAAATTTTACGAAAAACGTCCTCGAGATGAGATATTTAAATTCCTAAAGTGTGCGGAAATTTCGGTTTAAATACTTTTCTTAAATTTGATACAAGATTGAGGTACTCGTAAATCCAAATCGTAGCGGTTAAGAAGATGAAAGGGAAAACGAGTAAGAGAATCGACCTCCGATGAAGGATGAGGAGTGAAAGGTGAATTCACATGACG